CGGAGTGAAGCTGCGAGGCACGCGAGAGAGCGAGCGCGCCACTGAACGGCGCGTGTTCGTGAGCATGGCGGGCGAGAGCGTGCGGTGGGCGGGCAGCAGGACGTCGGTGACTCGGAAGAGAGCCGAGGATGGGCAGAGGGGGAGAACGGCATGGCTGGGGCGATGAGCGGACGCGCACTCGTGATCACACAAATCGCGATTTGATCGACCGCGCATCAGGGCCACCTCCGATGGCGCCCGGCTGTCCTCCTCCAGCGAGCACGACAACCGCACTGCCCCCGTCGGCGCGCGTGCGTTCTTCACTGGCACCTGCAGAGACACGGCCTTCCCAGACGCTCCCTCTGGCGCACGACGCACGGCCTTCGCTACCGGCCACCGTTCGCCCTTGATCAGCCTTGAAACACCGGGCGCCCCACTGCCCACATTCATCCCTCTCTTGGACCTGCAGCGTGCGCACTCATCCGTTCTCTACGCATGCTCCTCACTCTGATGCTCTTGGACCATACACCTGCACAGCGATCTGCTGGCCTGCGAGGACGTGCTACAGCCGGAGCATCCAGCTCTGGGTGACGTCCAACATCGGGTCCACGCCTGCGCCACCTGCGGTCGTGCCCGCCGCTGACAGATCCATCACGTTCCCGGCCTGGGGTGGTCGGACAGCCGTCGCCGCTGCGCCAGTCGGTGCTCGCGCGGGCGAGCGGGATGCGCGAGGAGTGTATGAGCCCGAGGAGGCGACGCTGGGATTGGGGCGCGGTCGGACAAAGGTGCGTGCTCCCGCTGGAACCGTGCATTTCGTGATGGCGTGGATGGAGATTCTGAGACGGGAATGGGAGCGCGCCGGGGGGGAGGCCAGATGTGAGTGAGATGCTGCGTTGTTGTATGCAATTGGCCGTCTCGTCTTCATCTTATCCTCGTCCCTTCTGTCCCCAGTACACGTCGCTCTGCACTGCTCTGACCTTTATTCTGTAGTGACGTCCTCTAGCGCACGGGCGCCCAATGCATGATATCGGCGCTTGGCCCTCCCACTCTATGCATCTCGTCTGTGCACTTCTACCTCGCCGTTTCCTGTGTCTGCGCTCCCACATCACCCACTGTGCGCCATCTACTGCAACTCTATGAGCCTCGATGCCTGTGCCACCTCCCGCTGCCCGTGTTGGCCCGCTCAACATCGTCGCCTCTTGCGGATGATCGCTCACTGTCCTACCTCACCCGGACTGGTTCTGTCTCTCCGCGCATCGCACGGCACGCTCTCTGCCGTCGTGTATCTCTTTCTCGCATACTCGCCGTATCGCGTCATAGACTCATCCAACGCCCTGCTTCTGCCGCCTTTTTTGTGCTTGGAACTATCGTCGTGAAGCCGTCGTGTGGGGTATCATCCGCGCTCGTCTATCGTCAGAGGTCTGCGCGCTATCTGCGTTCGCATACGCGCAAAGGGAGTGTAGGCCGCGGGTCATGTAAACGCGGAAGGCGTCTCTCCTGTAAGTGCTATCGTCGCATCCTCCTCGTCTGACCGTGTCTCCACCGCCACACACCGCATTTGCCCTTGCATCGCGCTCTCCCTCTACTGGTGTTCACGCGCAGACATCACACGTCGCTCAGGGCGCGCGCGCGGATGGGAAGCACGACGCGACCGAGACGCACGTCGAGACGGCGATGTGGCAGACCGCGCGTCCTGCGATGCGTGCGTTGTCGGACATCGTCGACACTTGGGAACGCTTCGCAAAGTGCGTTCCATCTTTGCGTCACGGTCAATCCCGCCGTGCTCACCTGTTTGCAGTGCACCGTCGCCGACGCCGCCCTTCTCGCACGCGCCTCGCCGACGCCTCGCGACGGTCGTGCTGTCGCTGACGGTTGCGATGGCGGTTGTATCATCAGCACTCTTCGTGAAGTCGACCACGTTCGGCGTCGGGTTTCGCATTTTCGGGCAGCCGGTCATCACGCGTTCGGTGCACTAGATAACAACGCGTTACCTCAACTGGAGAGAGGCCTTGGAGCTTAGGAGGTACGTGCATGATGCTGGCTTGTGAATAACTGGGGACGCGATACGCTGATGCCATCCTCCACCACCACGCACCGGCTCCAATGCACCTGCCTGCGAGACAGATCCACGACGAGCTCGGACGTCTGCTTCTCAAGCAGTCGACGCCAATGCCAGACCATGCGGAGCCAGCCCGACGGAGCCGATGAGCAGATGACTCTGCGTAGAAGTCAACGCGGGACCGATAGATGCAGGACTCAGCGCATGCCTAGTCTCAGGAGGGTGCCGGCTGAACGTGCTGCTCTGCCGCTCCCCACGCGTATCTCCGCGTGCGCGAAGCTCATGGCTATGGCTGGCGCGACCGCTGAGAATCAGCTCGCGGGAACGTCTTAAACGGTCCTCTCCAAAACTTGCATGTTGCGAAGAGCACGCGAGGCATAGACTCTCGACCTCGGCTAGTCGAGTGCTCCCTCGGGCATTCTTTCAACATCCCCGTTGTTTCGTGTCTGATCAGGTGTGCGACCGTCGTCGTGGAGAGAAGTGGTCGTGTGAGGGCTCAGGTAATCTCCCGAATTCATTATGCCATTCTATTGTACATCATTAGAAATGACTCACAGAAGCCTTCTCCGGTGACTTGCTTTGATTGGACTCATGCATGAAATGGAAGATGCAGTTATGAGCACAGGCTGCTGATGAGGATCAACGTGAGATAGAGATGGCTTCGCGAGTGTCCAGGCAGCCAGGTAATGGAAAGAATCCACCGAGTCAGTCTCATGATAAGGCCCTGCTGGGGCTGGGACATTGCGAGATGAATTCCAGAGAACTTCGCAGTGGCCTAGACATGTGTAAAATGAACAAAGAGCTCAGATACCGTGGAAGTGTACCGGTGAAGAGGTGGCCCGAAGCTACCATGCAAAGGAAGCGCAGGCTTGCAT